GGGATTGAGGCTTTGCTTAGCGGGCCGCTCCATCTATTGGTGGGGAGCATCACCTGCTGGAAACCGGGTCCAGCGTCCCATAATTACATCTTGCTGCACAGTACCATAGTGAGAGTGACGTCAGAGGGCTGGAAACCGGGTCCAGCATCCCGTATCTATTCTACTCTTCCCTACCTAGCCTGCAGCGGGGTCGGGTATTGGGGGGGGCCAACCGGGGGGCACCAGTGGGTTCTCCCTCCATCCCCTTGCCTCTGCCATCCACCAGCTAACCTCCTAACCTCCTGACTCCCATTGTGCTTTATGGTAGCATATGTTGGAAGGAATCAGCTAAAATCAGCCTCCTGACTCCCATTGTACTTTTCAATAGCATATGTTTGAGAGAATCAGCTAAAAAACAGCCAGGATCACTTAGAGAAGTACAGAGGGATATCTGACTGAGGGTGCAGCCCACGTGCTGGAAACCGGGTCCAGCATCCCATCTCCCCTCTACTCATTCAGCTGGGGTCTTTTTAAGGGGTCCGATGAGGGGAAATGCAGCAGGGCCATGGATGGCTTATGCAGGCAGCAAAGTTTCAGTTAAGGAGAGTGGGTGGGGGGGAAAGGGGTCTGCGAAGTCCTGGGCTGCCCTTAATGCTTCCCCCGGGTCTATATTGGTCCAATCATGGAAGACCAGCCRGTAATCCCTTTCTATTTCTAACCCGGGGTCCTCCTGTGGCCCYTTCTCCRGTAGATCACTCCTAGACCACTTTACCTCGGCCACCCATCCTTCCCTTTCCTTTCCCAGCCATTTCTTGCCAAAGCCAGAGATGGCTTTGTGTATGTCCCCCCAGATRTGCATATGATCAAGCTTGTCTTTAACAGCCTTCCATTGGGTCGCGATTTCGTGTTGGAATAATATCCTAATCTGTTCCATAGCTTCTCCGTCTTCCACCCGTGCTCCTTCTATTTCGAGGATACATCTCTTCCACCATATGGTCCATAGGACACTTCTTCTTCCCAGACTGAACATATTCTCTTCGAAGACATTCTCCCAAATTTGTGGGTAGTGTCCCAGGAGTATAGCCCTCCGATCCCATGGCCATTCCGCACCAGGAACAATATGCCGCCAGATCCTGTCCTGTCCCAGGTTCTCCACAGCAGTACAGATGCAGGGCACTACAAAAAGATATGTTCAATAGTTTCAGCCCGCCTCCTCCCAGGATAGCTCTAGAGGCATTTGCGACACCATGGCAGCGCCTTCCCTTGTTGTTCTAGTCGGGTGTGATCTCTCAACCAATCGTTAGTAGGTAAACATTTGTGTTCTATTTGCCATTGGAGGGCGGATATCTTAGCGGGTCTGTAGGTATACTGTGCAAACCATCGAATAGGCTTGAGCAGGCTGCGATCAATGTTGAGATGGCGGTACCATCTGTCTTCTACGCGCTCTCGCAGCCCCCTCTTGGGTCTTAGCATACGGTAGGCAGATTTAGATTTCAAGTTATAAAGTGAGAGCGTGATGGCCCCCTCTTTTCCATGCCTGGTACCTTGGGTCCATTTCCATTCATCGGGGTCTAGGGGGAGGTCCTCGATCGAGGTCATTGGGCGATGCACTTTTTGGTGGCCTCCTTCCTCAATGATCCTGATGCGATATACCCCTAGGTTGGGAGACCTACTGAACTTGCAAAACTCGGGATTTTTATTTTTCTCAATTTTTTTTTGGCAAAGTTCAAACTTTTCTTTTTTTGATTAGTGACTCCTTATCTGGGCGATTTATCCCCATCCACCCCTCCCCACCTATGTTGTTGCCCCCTCTCGTCTTACCTTCTTTATCTGTCTCCGAGTACCCCTTGCGGTGGCATTGGTGAGTTGCCACGTCAGCAGACCACGTCAGCAGACCATGTCAGCAGGCCACGCCAGCAGAACACGTCAGCAGGCCACGTCAGCCGACAACAGTGCCACGTCAGCAGCAGGGAATACCACGTCAGCAGGGCCTCGGCCTGGTCTATGCTTTTGCGCTCGCAAATAGCCGTCATGGACCAGAAGTCCGGGGAAACGGACGAGGCCTATTAGGCCCGGATGCTGCTTCAATGGTCGGATGGAGAAGCAGCCGCAGCAAAGAAGAAGGCAGAGGACGCCGAGAAGGCACGTCTGCTGGCAATTGAACAGCAGCGCCAGCACGACGAGGCAGCGACGAAGGCTGCCGATGAAGAACGAGTCCAACGTCGCGAGAAGATATTCAGTGGAGAGCAAGCTTTGCTCACAATGGCAGTGGATTGGCGGGCCGAGGCCGAGAATGGCAAGATGGAAGACAATGAAAACAAGATCGCTCTACTCCTCTCCCATCTCACGGACCTCCTGGCAACATGCATTACACAGCATGAGGACATCCACAGCCTCGACGACGCGTTGACTCAAGTCCACGGTCGCCTCCGGCAGCTGGAGCAGCGACTTGTCGCCGCCCCCGATGCCAGCTCTTCCAACACCTCCGATCGCCTCGAGGCATTGGAGATTGACGTCGACTCCCTCAAGGACGGCGTGCAGTTACAGCAAACCGCAATGCAACAGTTGGAGCAGCGGATCTGTACGGCCGCCAACCACTCGAGCTCGGAACCGCGCGAGACAGCTCCAAAGTTCGATGGGCAGGATATCTTTTGCGACTCGACGAAGACAGATCCGATTTCATGGTTCCGCAAGTTCGAGCTCACGTTACAACTACACTACGTCAAAGAACACAAGCACCACGGGTACTTATACTCCCGCTCGGGGGGCGCATGCCAAGCATGATTGGACAATCTCTTGTCCAAGTACGGAGTGGTAGCTGCCGACTTGCATACCAAGATCAGCTGGGATGATCTAAAGGCGGCGTGGCATAAGTGGTTCCAAGTAGAGCCGTCGGAGATCAAGGCCATGGGCAAGCTGATGGTCTTCGAACAAGGCACGCTGCCGAGTGTTGATTGGATTGCCGAGTACCAACGCTTGACATTCGTCCCAGACATTCAAATGGGCTTCAAAGCCATCAAACACTACTTCATCTCGAGGTCGTGTCCGGCGTTGGGTAATGCCTTGACTCACATCGAGGACATCCTGACGACACCGGCAAAACTTTTTGACAAGGCCGCGCAAATTATTGTCACGAACAAGGAGGCCAAGAATCTCCCACGTTCGTTTGCACCAGGCCTGGGCAGAGATCAACATCGGCCGAAAGTGGCCGTGGTCGCAGCTGCAACGCCAAACGACCAATCTAGCGAGGCCGTGTCTGCCAATGAAGGGGACGGACTCGCAGCCGCCCGGGAAGGTGGCTGCCCCGGCAAAGGCCGAGGACGCGGCAAGGCGAAGACAAACACCGCATCTAGCCCCGGGTCCGGCGCAACAGCTCCAGCCCCATGGTCCCACTTCAGTTTCTTTGAAACGACGTACAAAGCACGCACGAGATTCCACTATTGCCTATGGTGCAACAACGGTCTCCATGAGACAGTGACTCGACGACACTCTCGACGCCTTCGGAACCGGTCACTTCAAGGGTGACAGCCCTTCGTTCTGAGGCACATGCGGAAGTCGATAGTCCTCCTTTTCTTTATTCTTTTGAGGACTATGCTGCCCGACTCGTTCCTACGCTGGGTACTCATGCTCAAGGACAAGACGTGTGTGCAGCATCTTCTCCGTCTGGCAGCGACAACTTATCGTCTTCAAGTGGTTCCTCACGGGATTCTGCGCGCGAGTTCAACATAGAGGTATTGGACCCGCTCACGTCCGGGGATTTCGCATGGAATCCTCTCCCGACCACGGGCCGCTTGCTTGGACCGCAATGCGCAGCACTATGCGCTCATCTTCACACGTACTTATCTTTCTATGCACCACCAACTTCGCCGACAGATGACGAAGTCGCGGTGGCCCGCGAGTTTCGCAATCAGCGGTACGACGACAACAACGCACCGCTCCTCTATGTCCGCATCCAAGTTGCGCAAGCGTCCTGCAGCGCTTTGCTGGATAGCGACACGTCTCGTAATTTTATGAGCGAAGCCTTTGTGCAAAAGGTTGGCCTTGGTGCACAAGTTCGAAGGAAGGCAAACCCGACGGTGATCAAGTTGGCGGACGGAAGGACGCAGCAACTTATTGACCACTACATCGAGGCCGTACCGGTGTATTTCGCACCTCATGCATGTGAACCGGTGACGTTCAACATTTTGGACACCGATTTCGACATTATTTTGGGAATGCTTTGGCTTGCAAGTGCGGATCACACGGTCAACTTCCACCGGCAGACTCTTACCGTTCGCGACGCCTCCGGCGCTTAAGTGTCGTGTACTATTCCTCTTCCGCACCCTTCGATTTCGTGCCAAGTGGTGACGGCCAAGTCGTTTCGGGCTACTTGTGCTTACGAGCAGCCTGACGAAATCGGCCTATGTTTCCTACGGACCGTCGCGGTAGCCGACTCTTCACCCATGGACTTGTCTTCGAACCCCCGTGTGGTGCGGTTGCTTGACGAGTTTGCCGACATCTTCGAGTCACCTACCGGTGTGGTGCCGGATTGACCGATCTCTCACGAGATCATTCTTGAGGCTGGGAGAGAAGGTTAACAACAGTCGTATTTTTCATCACCACTTCAAAACACCCTTCACCACTTCAGGATGCAGCCTGCCTAAACAGGTGGTTTTCAGGGTCTTCAGACCTTTCACCACTTCAATATGCAGCCTGCCTAAACAGGTGGTTTTCAAGGTCTTCGGACCTTTCACCACTTCAGGACCATTCAGGATTTTTAGACTGCCCAAAACTCTCACTTCACCACTTCAGGATGCAGCCTGCCTAAACATGTGGTTTTCAGGATCTTCGGACCTTTCACCACTTCAAGAGCATTCGGGATTTTCAGACTGCCAAAAACTCTCACTTCATAATTTTTATTCCTGAATTTTCAGCTACCCGTTAACCGCTTGTGGAGGTCGGTGTCGTGCCGCCGAAAGGTTGCATTTATCGCATGAGCGAGGAGGAGCTTATGGTCCTCCGCGCGCAACTCGATGATTTGTTGGACAAGGGCTGAATCCGCCCTAGAAGCTTTCCATACGGAGAGCCAGTTCTCTTCGTACGGAAGAAGAACAAAGATCTACAATTGTGCATTGACTACCGCAAGCTCAAAGCGCAAACCGTCAAGCATGCGGGCCTCGCATCGACGATCTTCTTGAGCGATTGGGCGGCGCAAAGTATTTTTCTAAGTTGGATTTGAAGTCGGGATATCATCAAATCTCGATCCAACCGAACGATCGTTATAAATCTGTGTTCAAGACGCGGTATGGGCATTTTGAGTGGGTGGTCATGCCTTTTGGCCTCACCAACACCCTGACGACCTTTCAAGCGGCAATGACCAACGAGTTCCATGCAATGTTGGACCGGTTCGTGCTGGTCTACTTAGACAATATTCTCGTCTATAGCCGGTCATTGGAGGATCATCTTGAGCACCTTCGGCGAGTGTTGGAGACGCTCCGCCGCGCCAAGTACAAGGCCAACCGTGACAAGTGCGAATTTTTCTGGTAAGAGCTGGAATACTTGGGCCATTTTGTCACACCGGAGGACATCAGTCCGTTGTCGGACAAGATTCAAGCCATCCAAGAGTGTTCGGAGCCACGGAACGTCACGGATGCCCATTCGTTCCTTGGCCTCGCCGGCTACTACCAGCGTTTTATCAAGGGCTACTCGAAGATCGCGGCCCACTTGACCAAGCTTCAATGTGAGGATCAGCCGTTTGACTTCGGAGAGGATGCGCGGGAATCATTTTTGGCTCTCAAAGCCGCACTATTATCTGCGGAGGTCTTGCGCATATACGACCCGCTTTTGCCTACGCGCGTCACTACGGATGCGTCTGGCTATGGCATTGGTGCCGTCCTCGAGCAACAGGATCGCATGGACTAGCACCCGGTCGAGTATTTCAGCAAGAAAGTGCCCGTCATGCACTCCATTGACAATGCACACAAGAAGGAGCTCCTCGCCTTCGTCCACGCGCTCAAGCGGTGGCGGCACTTCCTCCTTGGTAGAAGCCAATTCCGATGGGTAACGGACAACAATCCGCTGGTCTTTTACAAGACCCAAGACACCGTCAACAGCACCATCGCTTGATGGATGGCTTTCATCGACCAGTTCGACTTCTTTCCCGATCACATTCTGGGGAAGTCGAACCGTTTTGCGGATGCTCTTTCACGGCGTCCAGATCATTGTACCGTGGTCTATTCAACCTTCGAGATCGACAACGACCCGCCGGACAGCTTCATCCGCGGCTACCAAGCCGACCCCGAGTTTCACGACAAGTACTCAAATTGCTCCTCTCCTAATCCGGCCCCTTCTCACTACCAGATCCAAGAGGGGTACTTGCTTATCCACACACGGGGGATGGACCTTCTTTGCGTACCGAGTGACCCTCACTTGCGTACACGGCTTCTTAGCGAGTTCCACGATGCTCCCACCACCGGACACTTTGGAGGAAATCGCACGATTGGCCGACTTCGCAAGCGATTTTGGTGGCCCGACCTTCTCGGCGACGTCACACGCTATTGCGAGTCATGCGAAGTTTGTCGATGCTGCAAATCCCGCAACCATCATCCATACGGCAAGTTGTGACCATTACCGGTCCTTTTGCGGCGAAGGGAAGCGATTGCCATGGACATTACCGGCCCGTTCCCCAAGCACAAGACCGGCGTGGATGGGGTTCTCACGGTGGTCAACCGACTCAGCAAGTTCGCCATGTTTTTGCCTTGCTGCTATCATGCCAAGGCACCGGAGTTGGCCGAGGTTCTTTACGCCGGTTGGATTTGAACCAAGGGTTACCCCAAGGAAATCGTCTGTGACTGCGACACTCGGTTCATGTCCGATTTTTGGTTGGCGCTCATCAAACGATGGGGCTCATCTCTCAAGCCAAGTTTGGCTCGCCACCCCCAAACCGCTGGCCAAACGGAGAGGGCGCATCAAACTGCACAGGTTCTCCTTCGCACTCTCATCCGCCCCGACCAGAAGGATTGGGTTGAGCGGCTACCAAATGTCGAGTTGGCCTACAACTCGTCCATCCACCCGGCTATCGGGATGTCGCCCTTTGAGTTCGAGCACGGCTCGCCGGTCACTTCGTCATTGGACACAATCATTCCATGAACGACCGAGAGCGACGACCATCTTCTTTTCTTGCGTCGGATGCAAGAGCTACTTGTCAAGGCACGCGACCAGATGGCCAAGACGCAGCAACGCATGAGCCAACAGGCCAATCGTCAGCGTCTTCCTTGCCCATTCCGCGCTGGCGATCTCGTTTGGGTTTCCGCCACGGAATTCAGCCTTGAACAAGATATCTCTCGCAAGCTCCTCCCGAAATGGATGGGGCCCTGGCCGATCGTGGCACCCGCTGGGGATACACCTGAGGGACCTTCCTTCACTATTCAGGTCCCCGCCCACTTGCCCGTCTACAGTCTTTCATTGCTCCAAGTTGGCTCTTTACACGCCAGCGGAACATGACGATTTTCCCGGGCGACGTTCGCAAGACCCACCCTCTATGGACGGTTTTTAGGAGGTCGGCGACATCATCTCCCATCGACGCTACGACAACAGGCCAACCGAGTACTTGGTACATTTTGCGTACTGCACTCGCAAAGTTGACCGTTGGTTGACCCGTGCGGAACTCCAAGCAACAGCTCCGGATGTTCTCGCACGCTACGAACGCAAAATGCAAGGCAAGCCGGTATCTTCGGCTCCACGTCGCACCCGTGTCCAGGTTCCACCTTCAGATCGTCAGCTTCGCCCTCGACCCGGCTTGATTTCATAAGGAGGGGGGGGGTGTTACATGCTGCACCTGCAACAGGCTGCACGGGCCATTTCCAGGCCTGTGACGTTTTCAGGCCAAAAGCCTGAAAACAAGGGCCTACAGGACCTCAGGGCCTTTCCGGCCCTGAGTGTTTTCAGCCTGAAACTGAGGGCCATGTTCAGGCCCTCATCGGTTCGACCTGCCCTGAAACTCAGGCAACAAACCAGGGTTTTAGCACAGGCCATTTCGGGCCTGTTTTCAAGACAACCCCTGGTTGAGCTTCAACGCCAGGGTCTGGCACGTTTCGGCATTGGCAAGAGCAGCCTCCTGGACGGGCCAGCACTATATAGGACTGGCCCGCCCTGCAGGCAGGCAGGTAGTTCCTAGGTACTTCCCAGGCACTTCACGTGCAGTTCAGGAGGCAGGAGGTAGTCTTCGGGATTCGGCAGCAGCACTCTGGAGGAGCGCTGCAGGAGTAGTAGCAGCGTTAGCTGTAGTCTTCAGCGCTGGGCGCCATAGCAGTTAGAGTATTACTAGAGAGAGAGAGATTAGGCGGAGGCCAGAGGGACTTACCTGCAGCGCCATTGCTCCAGCTTCGTCTTCGAGGCACCTGCAGCACAGCGCCATCTTCACAGGTTAGTTCCTGGCACATGAGAGAGAGAGTTATTCTTCCTCCTCTTCTCAGTTCACCATCTCCTTCTCACCCTCTCGCTATCTGACTTCACTGCATCAGCAGACTACGAGAGAGAGAGAGAGAGA